CCTGCTTCCCACCTTGCTCGAGGGGACAACGAGGCTCTTGGTTCTTGTCTTTGGGTTTAGGGTTTAGGGTTCAGGGTTCAGGGTTTAGGGTTTAGGGTTTATTGTTAAGGGTTCAGGGTTTAGGGCTTTGCGTGAGATTCCTAGGTAGTACGGTTGATGATATAAATCGGGGTCCCTTTTTGGGTTCCTTAAGGGATCTATAAGGGTTCCTATATGGGTTCATATAAGGTTAGTACGGTTGGTGATGTAAATCCTGCATTGCCCGTAATAAGGAATATACCATAATTCCCATGGTTTAGGGTCCTGAAGGTACATTACCCATAATGAGGTATATACCATTCCCGTACTTTAGGGTCCTGAAGGTAATGCTAAGGATTTCTTTCATCAACAGTAGTATTACAGAGACCCCTTCCGAGGGGACCCTTCTGAACCTTACTTATGGCACTCTTCAGAAAGGGACCGTTTTGAGAGGGTCTATATCTCCAAGGGTCCCCTAAACCCTAAACCCTATCCCAGCTCCTAGAGATAGGGTTTCGAGCCACAGTTTAGGTTTTTCTGTGAGAAGGGGCCTAAATGGCGGTTTCCGAAAATAGGGGACCCTAGTATAGCACCCCAAATAGTAGGATCCTTATTATACGAACCCCAAAATAAGGTACCCCCTAGTTTCGGAAACTGCCTAAATCTTCTCAAAACATCACCGCCGAAGCACCGTCACTTCGACCTCCGAGGCGTAGCTGCAGCCTCTCAGCATAGCTGCGAGGCAGCAAGACACGGGGGCTTTAGGCCTTGAGGTTTGGGTTTAGGGTTTTTTGGGGTTTCTGGGATTTCTGGGTGTTGGGCTTGAGGGCATTCGAAGGACGCTTTCGGGCTTGCTTTAGCATGGTCGGGCTTAGGGTGTTCGACGTTGGGGCTTTAGAGTGTGGGGGCTTGCAGCCTGGCGGGCCCACTACCCGACTGTACCACCCGAACAGCACGCTGCAGCACCGGCAGCGGCAGCAGCAGACCCCTGTTGAAGAGGCGACCAGGATTTGTAGCTAGCATTGCATTTCGGTGCGTCCTAGTATCGTACGACATTGCATCTTCGAGCGCAGTCTACTAAGTCGGTAGAGAACATACAGACTTCATGGGCTATACTCTTTGATGATACGACATCCTATTTTTTCCGCAGAAGCGGTATCATGCAAGCCGAGGGATCCCTCAGAGAACAACCTGCTTCGGAGCCTTACTAGAAAACCCTTACACCTGTAAAGACCACAGGACCCTTCTGGAACCCCCTATAGACACACCCGAATACAACACCTTTAAGAAACCGTCATCTCAGGCCGTTGGAGGTCCTAGGGAAGGTTTAGGGTTTTAGGGGTTTAGGGGTTTAAGGGTTTAGGGGTTTAGGGTCGTCAGCTCTATCGTAGAACCTAAGGAGAAGCCCTCCTTCTGGAGCCCAGACAGGGCAGAGTCCCCTCTTTGCTCTTGGGCCAAGGAGCTCCCCCGCCCGGAGAGGATGGCCCCGACACCGAAGAAGGAACCTCCAGGTAGCAGAGGGAGCATAAGAAAAGGGTTTGGGGTTTAGGGTTTATGGTTTAGGGCTTAGGCAGCAGAGGGAGGATAAGGAAAGGGTGACGGGCGAACAACTTGACAAAAACCCGTTGAAACCCTACAACCCTGCAAGCCCAAACTTCTAAAGCCCCTCTTGTAAAGGCCTGGGACCAGCTCCTTCACCTCCAGCTTGGCATCCGTAAGGAGGCTAAGCCGTCCTGAGAGACAGGGGCCGATCCGGGAACTGTCACCTCTCTTGTAGAAGCCGTACAAAGCCTTCACAACAACCTAAAGATATCTGGATAGAACCTTTACAGAACCTGTCTAGCACCCACTACAACTCTCTTAGAAACCTTTATAGAAACCCCCAGACCCCAACCACCACGGAGACCCAAAATGTAGAACCCTTTAATGGAACCCACCTGGAAACTGTGACCCTTCTCGAAGACTCAAGAACCCCTAGCCTCACAGGAAACCCCTTGTGGAAATCTTGAAGCTGGCGCCGAGCCTTCTGCGAGGATGCGGCATCGGTTGGGCCGCTCCCCTCGCCGCAGTACTGTGAAGGCATAGCCCGCAAAGCCTGAGACGAAGGGTTTAGGGTTTAGGGTTTTAGGGTTTAGGGCCCCCTTAGGATCTGAGCCGATGTGGGGGGGGGGCACCACGAGGAAGAGAGAAAGGCAAAAGGAAAGGCGTGAGGCTTGATGGTACAGCTTGAACTTTTTCTGTCCTTTATTTGTCTACAACAGCTGTCTACATATGTAGTTCTTCGGGCCAAAGAGCCGGTCTCCAGGGTCATGAGCAACATCTCCAACTCGCTGGCGCCTGCCGCAACGATGCACAGGATACTGGTGCTCTACATGAGGCCATACGGTGCAGGTTTAGGGCTCTAAGCCCCTTTTAAGCCCTAAACCCCTGACGATAGTTGTGCATTTCATGGGCCTAAGACTGGCCCAAGACCGAGGACTCGTCACAGTCATCATCGAGCCAGGTTGCTGCATTCGGAGAGGAAGGGCAACGATTTGAGTCGCGATGCATTCTCTGAGCACACGTCGTCCTCGCCCATGAGCAGCGGCAAAAGTGAAGACACACCCTAAACCCTGGCAGTCCACCGATGTGTTCTGCGACTGCGAGATGCTCGGGTGTAAGACAAAGCTCCGACACAAATCATAAGCCCTTAGGGCTCAGTTAGGGCTTAGGCCCAAATCCAAGACCTTCTGAAGGACTTCCATGTAGACTGGCGTGCTGAAGCGCAGCAGCAGCGATCTCTCCTGTAAGCTTCAGGTGCAGCAGGCTAGGGCCCCAAGAACCCCGATTTGGGTTCCCTAGTGGTAACCTGGGGGTTTAGGGTCTAGGGCTCGAGTTAAGAACCCCGCTGAGCAATACACCCTAAACCCTAAACCCTAAACCCTTAGGGATAGCTACTAGCAATATCCAGCAATCAACACCAAGCGAACTTTTGGGAGCATTGAGAAACCTTTGCACGGCAAGGATTTGAACATTCCAGGAGCAACAAGCAGGGCGTCTCTGGTCTGTCGTTTTTTGCATGGCCGACTCCTCATCCCTCAGGTACTCAAAGCTGTTAAAGATACAGCCACGGATTGGTAGCATATGAAGTCCCAAGACCGTCGCTTGACCTGTCGCACGACACCTTCCAGCTCCCACAGGTATCGACTCCACTTCAACGAGGTGTCTGGGTAGAAGAAGACGCAATTCTTGCAAGGACTTCCCTCAACTTTGTCGGTCGGTCGAAGTGCCAACAGATTGTTGGTGGTTTCACTACATCAGCTTCGTCAAAATAATCTGACACAAACACATGACGCAAAGCGTCTCTTGCGGTGACCCGCCACCGTGGGTTGAACTGCAGCAGGCCATCCAGCAGGCTGAGATTGCTTTCAGTTGCTGAAGGGAACAAGTTGCCCCAATGCTGCTTGTCAAACATAAAAGCAGGCTGCTGGATCAGTTCCGAAAATCTGTGTGTCAGACAGTCTTCGTGTCTTGGCGTGCCTACTATGCGAAGAATCTTCTTCAATTGATCCAATGAGCTACTGCCTGGGAAAAGCACAGATCGGCCTGTCAATTCAGCCAGGACGCAGCCCAGGCTCCAAAGATCCGCAGAAGGCATGTGGGTGACGGCCTCCAGCAAGACTTCTGGTGCCCTGTACCAGCGCGTACCGACGTAATCTGTGCGTAGGTCTACCTTTGAAGCTTCTTTGTCTGGCCAAGGCCCCCTTGCCAAGCCAAAATCGCAGAGCTTTATGTCACAGTTCCTGTTCACCAGGATGTTCTGAGGCTTCAAGTCGCGGTGAACCACGTCGCTGCCGTGCAGGTACTCAAGAGCGAGCAGGATTCCGTATATCCAGAACTGTATATGCTCCTCCCCCAAGACCTCCTTCGAGCAGATGATATTGTAAAGCGTTCCATCCATCAGCTCCATCACGAGATGCACGGTCGGCGGTTCTTTAAGTGCCACCACCTCCTTCAAAGACACGATGTTGCTATGCTTCAAGCATTTCATGATATTGATCTCGCGAAGGCAGCGCCTTGCTGCAATGTGGTTTGATGCGAAGTTCTGCATTGTCTTCACCGCGACTTCCCCAGCATTGCTGCGGTATTGGCTCACCACGCCGTATGTGCCAGCACCAAGTGCCTTCACAAAGCGCAAGTGAGGCAGATGTGCACCCACTGCTTGCCTTGGACCACTCAGCAGGATGCAAGGCAAAGTTTCTGCCGGAGGAAACATCTCCAGGAAGCTGTATTGTTTTGATGAAGTTTTCACCTGATTCTTTATGGCTTTCAACTGGTGCTGTTCCGCTTCTCCAAATCCAAACTTGAAGCAGAGGGGTAGACTGGCGCTTGCCAATCCGCCAGCGCCCCAGCCCACCCATGTGGCCCATGACGGAGCCTGTGAAGCTGCCAGCGCAAGGAAGACCATTGCTTCAGAAATTGTACTTGCACAGCAGCGTGCAAACCACAGAAACCGTAGCTGGATTAACTGGCTACTGTATAAAAACAGTAATAATAATAATAAGAAGAATAATGAGAATAATAAGAATAATATGAAAAGGGTTTAGCAGGACCCCCCAACTACCCTCTAGTATGCCCCTAAGTTTCTACTCTTAAGGCGGATTTGCGTACAACACAAGCTCCAAGGCTGTTACTATTACTATTACTAATACTTATACTAATACTATTACTAGTACTAATACTAATACTATTACTGGCCTTTATGACTCTTGCTGTTTTGCCTGATTTCTTGGACTACCAATGCTCCAAGTCTGGGAGCCAAGGTCCCCTCATGCCTACACCAGATTCTTATAGCCATTATTATTACTATTAATACTATTATTGCTATTGTTATTATTATTGTTCCTATCATTACTGTTATTACTATTATTGTTACTATTATTACTACTATTATTACTATTACCATTACTATTATTACTATTATTATTAATAGCCTTGGTATTATTACTATGCGATTATAGTTATTGGTATTACCAATATTATAACGAGTTTTGATATATTTAATATTCGTAGTATTACTATTACAAGATTAGAGTTACTAATATTCTTAATGTTTTTCTTAGTATTACTATTATCGTTTTCTCCACTGCTTGCGACTGCAAAAGCGATGAAGGTGCTGTCAAGCTTAGCCTCGAGACATACAACTCGCCAACTAATGAAACAAACAGTCAAACATCAAAATCATGACAATGATACTATACAATAATACAATTTTAATAACAACAACAATAATCATGATGATGATGCTGTAATACAATAATAACAACAATAGTAATACTAGTAGTACGTAATAATAATAATAGTAGTAGCAGTAGTAGTAGTAGTAGTAGCAGCAGTAGCAACAGTGGTAGTCACAGTAGTAGTAGTAGTAGTAGTAGCAGCAGCAGCAGCAGCAGTAGTAGTAGTAGTAGCAGTGGTAGTAGTCGCAGTAGTAGTAGTACAAGAGATGGCGGGTCACGTGAGAGTCATTCTGTTGTCAGGCTTGTGTGAGAGGACGGGAAGGTATGCCACAAGTACATGTTGTAAACAATAATAATAACAATAATAATAATGATAATAACAATAATAATCATGATAATAATACTACCACTACTACTACTATATAATACTACCACTACTACTACTACTACTACTACTACTACTCCTGCTGCTGCTGCTACTACTACTACTACTACTGTATAATAGCAACAATAATAATAATAGTAATAACAATATAGGACACAAGCCGGGGTGAGGACCACCTAGCTAACCTTCGCCTCACGTCATTGCATGCTCTCTCTGGACCTCCCCGACAAGGCATTTACAAAGCTTTGAGCTACTGCAAGTTAACTCCACAACTCACATCATCACCGTGACGCTCGCAAATCTGAATTCATGTCGGGAAGGCACTCCAACCAATTGAACGGGATGGTGTATCGCAAAACATCTCCTCAAGTATCCTCAAATCCAACGCTATTGGACCTCGCATGCCATTGCCCAAGCGCCTTCTTCACTGATGCGAAGGTAAGCCAGCAGTCACTGCGTCGGTAGTGGCAGTCGGAATCGGCCACATAAGAAAAGTGCTTTTCAAACCCTGTATCACAATGCCGCAGACTTGTCAAACCATTATAATTAGTTTTGTTATTATTCTTGTTATACTTGTTATTACTGTAGTTGTTATTACCATTATTATTAGTATTATTCTTATTCTTAGTTTTACTACTATTATTGCAATAATTACTGTTGTTATAGTATTACATTACTGCTAAACACACAATGATCCTTCGAGGCAAAAAGACAGTCACCTCACCCGTCTCTACTCACATCCCCACTCCGGCGCAAATTATGCCACAGTGTTATAATAGTAGTAAAACTGGTAATTGTAGTACTAGAACGACAATAATCATAGCAATACTAGTAATGATAATGATAGCAGTTCCCATTTTGGAACATGTGTTGGCAGGGTGCGATGGGGGGAGGCTCGAGCACATTCTAGTCCTGGGAACACCATTCAAGAATTTGTTATCGGCCATCGGATGTGTCACTGAGGATTCGATGCACCAAAGTTAGGTAGCCTTTCTCATGTGACAAGCTCAACTTCTGCTAGACTGTCTCGGCTTTTCGAAGCTCTGTTTGGCCCCTTGTACCAAGGCCGGCAGCGCACCAAGAAATGCCAACAGAGAGGACCCTACACCGTAAGTACACCCCACCACAAGCTCGGCCTTTGCCCGAACCCTCCGTCCTGTGCCACGGCCGTGGTCCAGCGCACATCGGTGGACGCCCTGGGCTGGAGCGCGCTGCTGCGAGCAGCTGTAGCTGTGAGTAAGTTGCCGTACAAGAGAACCCTCAGATCTGAACAGCGGTTGACTGAAGAGCCACCCTTTAATGTAGGGGCCTTAATAGTTAGAATATGGTTTTGGGGTCCATTATACATAATTATAATAAGGAACCCCCAAAACCCCATTCTAATTATTAAGGCCCCTACAGTAGGGTTCATTTAAGGCTCCCTTCGTGGGGACGAACTGCAGACAGAGATCCGAATTCGGCCACCGTCCCAGCCGTCCCCGAAGGCACGGCCGTCAAAGACGCTGGTGGCGAAGACGCGGACGCCATCTGAGGGCAGAGGTTTGTGGCTTAGGGTCTGAGGGCAGAGATCATCGGAAAGCTTCTGATTGCCATGAAGTCTTGGTCTTGCTACCAAACTACGCCATTTATACAAAGGTTCTTGCATGCTGTCGTTGTCAACTTAGCTATCGCAATCTCCAGCCATGACATCGCCAGCCTGTGCCCTCCAATGCCCGCTCGATGGTGACGGAGCCATTGACAACCACGTACCTCGGGTTTAGGGTTTACGGTTTATCGTCGTTTCGACAGGGTTTGGAACCCGCAAGCCTAGACCGTCAGCGCTGAACCCCAAAGCAACAAAACTCCTATAGCCTATAGCCACTAACACGTAAGATCCCAAACCCCCCAAAGCATACCAATTCGAAGGCAGGCGAGATGCAAACCAAGCCAGACTTGCTCGAGACCCTACACTTGTCTCGTCCCCACCCCAGAGTGCTGTCTGTGATAAAAGGGGGTTGAATAGGATTTAGGGGACTAATGGGGATTAGGATGTAGGGTTTAGGCTGAGGGTCAGCGAGTGGGTTGTAGGGTCAAGCGCAGATGGGGTATTTGGGAACAGCTTCAGTAAGGACACATGACAATCTAGCCGGCTATACTATACCATTGCCGGCTACGCTTACTTACATCCGAGCATACCAGCTGGCGCCGAGAAGCACATGGCCGATCGGGTCGCCATCCTTGTAGATCATTTCCTAAGCCGACAGTAGTTGTGTTCGGGTCGCTACGGCAGGTTCAGGAATTTGCATGATCGGTGGCTTCAACACTTCGGCTTTCAGGGTTGTAGGGCGGGCTTAAATATAGGGTTTTCGGTCTTAGGGTTGTCGGGTTGAGAGGGTTTCAGGGATTAGGACCAGGAACTGTGACGACAGTTACGATTGCCCATCCTCAATTGAGGGAGCACGGCGGAACACGGGACCGAGTGTCTTCAGCGACAGTCTGATGCAGACACAGAGCACTTAACGTCCCGCTGAGCTTCCCCCAGCTCCACATCCAGGAATTCCGCGTGCTTCAGTAGCTCGAGGAGCTGATCTGACGAGAGCCTCCGAAAGCGAAACCCTAAACCCTAATGCAGGGGCCTTAATAATTAGAATAGGGTTTTTGGGATTCCTTATTATACTTATAGTAGAATATACCCCCGAAGCCTATTCTAATAATTAACGCCCCTATATTAAACCCTAAACCCGCGAAGACGGACGGGGTCACTTCGCAGGCTCGGGGGGTTTTGCCATTCATTGAGTGCTTCATGCGAGGGAGAGAGTTTGTGTGAAAGACTTGGGGGCTTTCCACTTAGGGCGTCCTTGGAGTTTCGGAAAAAATGGGCATCCGCTCTCAAAATGCTGACCAGAACTGGGATTTTGCTTCCAGCTCTAAGCTGCGGGAACCTGCCCTACTCCCTGCCTCCGGAAGAAGTGCATCGTCTTGAAGTACTGAGCCAGTCGACTTGCTTGTGGCTGCGTGTAGCCTCAGCAAAGTCTTGTCTAGATTGGGTCTCAAGTGGTGCACAATTCAGGTTGTGGCTGGTGGCAACAATTCCGGTTTGCAGTACTTAATCGACGGTTTTTAGCAGCTGACGCTGGCGATCTCAGCAGCTGCAGCCCCATCTCAGTGTTTTTGGATTGCAGCACACGTTGGCCCACCTGTCTGTTTTTGTGCTGTGCTATACACCAATCCTCGTGTTAGGGTTGACGATGCAACAGACCGTCTTAAAGGCTCTAGATTTAGGGTCCTTTTTGGATAGGTGGAGGTTTAAGCAACTCCGATACTTATGCTGCCCTCCCTGCAGAGATACTCCCGAAGCCTTCGAGCCATCTGCCTGCTTGTAGCCAAGTCACCGCCAGATGCCCGCGCAGTGAGAATCCGCTGAACCTCTTCAGGACAAGGGGTGTAGGCGACTTCTAGGTCGAAAAAACCCCCCACACTGGCAGATTCTGGGTTCGGGGATCGCCTTGGCAGCTCACTGCGGTTGATGATAGAAATCCTTAGCATTACCCCACCATAAGGAATATACCATAATTCCCATAGTTTAGGGTATTAAGGTAAGGCAGGATTTGGATCATCAACAGTATGTCGGACTGTTCCAAAGGATTCCAGGAGCCTAAGACCATGGAATCCGAACCCTTCAACCGCGCGGGCAAAAAACGCAGCTCTGGCCTCAAACAGCTCAGCAGAACCCAGCGCAGCGTAGCCCTGCAGGACATCCCAAAGTGCTCACAACGAAAGCTCGACAGCGAGTCTTCTTTGAGGCAAGGGTTTAGGGCTTTAGGGCTTTAGGGTTTTAGGGCTTTAGGGTTTGAGGGTTTAGGG